AGCAGACTGCAAACTAAAATTGTAATAAATTAATTTAATAATTTAACCAAAGTTAAATTTATTGATATTTATTTTTTTTCATTTTATATATTCTATAATTAATTTAATTTTACCTACCTATAGTAAAACCACATTTTATTTTAAAAAAAGTTGTTATTGTTAAAGTGAATAAACTATGTTAAAATTAAAGTATGTTTTGTTTTTATGTTTATTTGTATGATTWTGAACGTKTCCTTTTTAATTATTATAAAATAAGGTTTTATTATTTATAAAGATAATACAAAACATTGTAGCAATTTAACAGTAAAAAAAAAAAGTATAGAGTATTTATTTTTTCATGAAATAGTTTAGGTATTATGAAAAATAAAATTCTAGTTTATTTTGTTAAACAAATAGTAAAAAATGTACTATTTAATGGAATAGTACGTTGTGATGAAATACAACCAAAACGTACTATTTCCATCGAATTTTGACAAAACGAACTAAGTGGTACATTTAGGCACGATTCACTTTATAAAATGATGTTTAATTTACCGAGTCTGAAATTTAAATATAAACACATATCATAAGTAGGTTCATTTTTTTATGCATTTTTTGAATGCTTTAGATTTTTACTATGACTTTCTGATAAGCTACTATAGAAAATCCATGTTTCTGGAAAAAGCAAAAAATGGAAATTGACAATAGTACGTTTTGCATTGTCGCCCCTCAATTTATTGTCGAATGTATTTGAACACCGGTGAATAACGATAAGATATTACTTATATTAACAATATTATCATTGATTGATAGTTCATTGTCAATCGTGACACGAACAACAATATGCTATAACCGACTTACAAGACGTGTGGGTTATATTCTTTCATATTAAACGCCCGACCCGATCAACGATAATTAATATGATCAGTTTTGATCTGTTCTTTTTTCTGTGATTTTTACTATATTATAATATTATTATATTCGTATAGTTAACGTTTTATTTGACAAAATCGATAATTATTTTACATTGTTTCGCGTACCTACCTACACGTCGATCGCACCGATATCATGGACCTACACACAGCGTGTACACTGAATCACCCAAAAGCGATTGACATGCTGACTCAAAGGTAATGATACTATATACTATCATTATATTAAGAAACTTAACGTACTTACGAAGGGTGAGCGTGTGTTTTTGTACTCGAAATTCTAGCAGATAATTTCCTACATTTAAAATTATTTATCTTTGTTGCGATCTGCGGTCGCCATCATCAAAATATCTACCTACTACCTATAAATTATAATATATACACGAATATAATATAGCAAGTAGGTACAMGCAACACATATCAGTTATGATATTGTGTGTCTGTGATAGATATACATTATAATATGATAACCTACTTGAACATATAATTTAAACGTAAACGTAAAAATCTCGGCATTCAACGTCTGAAACTACCATTGACCATTTATTTGATTATATACTCTTCGGAATATAATATGTATAAAAAAAAAGTACCACGTCATGTTTTACTTACGAACGACAGTAACAGCAAATAATAACAGTAATAAACGTGTGTTTTAGAACTAACATCAATAATACGCGTATCGGTRCGATGACAATAGMTTTACTTCACCGGGTTGGCCGGCCATTGATACACATACCCAAATTATGTAGGTATGATCTCGATTTAAATTATGAAAAGCGTTTCGTATCAATGCGGTAATATTTTAATAGTAAATATTATAAATTGATTAATCGTAACACGAAATTCATTAAATTAAACAAACAATTAATACGTAGATCTCTATTGCCTATTAACTATTGTGTGTTGTACATTATATATTTATATTTATTTTATATAGTAGGACACTATTGGAAGTACCATACATTTATCGGTATATTATCGTTACTGAAACGGACCTTGATAGCATTTTACACTATTAATACATATAGTCTGCACTATTACGTGCACTAAATAAAATCATATCGTTGATAGAGATAACTGATAAGTAATAGCTGAGAAGTACCTATACATTTATATTTATTTACAGAACATAATATTTCACGTTTTCGTTCAAAAATTAAATATCCGTTTTACAATATTGTTCAACAAATTATTGAATAACTACGTCAGCCGAATCACTAACAATAATTATTATTAGGTATAACACGATAAAAGTAATCAAAATTTAATTTTAATCACAAATCGCAATTCTGATCTGCAGTTAAATAAATTTAAATTCAAAATTAACTCTATTACAAATAATAAAATTAATTAAACATAGATATTATTTTACAATCAAGATAATTATTGTTTTATGGAAGGAATAATTTAATATAGAGTCAATTATTACCATATTGGTAGCTAAAGAAGATTCACATTGTCAATTTAGGTTTCTATAAAAATAAATTTATAACACCTTACATCTTCGTATATCCGTCCGTTAGTTACCAGCAAATAGATACGATTGATGATAATAAATATTTATTAAAAATAAAAAATACATAATTAATATTAAAAAATTAATTAAATATAAGATATATTTATTAAATATAGTCTGTAGTTACGATTCTTTATATTAAGATATTTAAATTGTAGTTTATTGCGTTGCATTAAAATAAGTTTAGACGCTGGAAATTGCTTAATTTTCAGAATGAGTTTTCCTAACTTATAAGCATTACTAATTTAATCGTTTTTGATATACATATTTAAAATCACAATAATTATTTTTGAAAAAATAAATTAGATTAATATTTTTCTTAAATTCCGGTTAGATATCAAAACACGGAAGTTCTATAATGTCTTTTTAAATCTATAATTACCTAGATTTTTTTCACACTTTCAAAATGTCTGATGAATAAATTGTACTTCGATCAATACTTAAAATCAAAAAAAAAACCGTTACCAATTAAATAATAGGTTACAAAATCAACAATTTTCTATATTGGGTTGATCTACCTAACAGTTCAATTATTAATAGCAAAATGCAATTTATTAATTTATTAGTAATCTCAGAATATACAACATCCTATCCAACATAGGTACAGACGAAGAATTATAGGTCTAAAAACAGAAAACATCAACAATATGAATAATATTAATTATGATCAACTTCTTAGGAAAAACAGACCTGTATAATCAAATTTAACTTTAAAAAAAAAATAATTTTTAACCATCTCCTGTTTGTAAAACCGTAACTGTCTGCTTGTATAATTTTAAACTAATATCTTTGTCATTAATTTTTTCAATGATTAATTAACAACCTTCCATATTTTTAAAAATATTGTTACATTTAATAATTGTAGTTTGGTACCTAATACCTATTTGATATTCAACAATTGTTTTCTAAACAGTTCAAAATATTTTCTAAGTGTGAAAATCCTATGTAAAAACATAATATTGAATGTAATGCAATAATTCGATATAAAAAATAAATTTAGATACAAATATGTTACTTGTTTGGTAAAGGTGCAATAACAGTTACTAAATTGCATTCAACAATATTTTTTTCAGAAAAACAACAAATTAAGCTTATTTTGGTTATAACTTTATATAAATTATATTATACGCATGTATACTATTCAAATAACCAAAAACTTTTTGATTTCTTATGATCAAAGACAAACGTTTTAAAAATACATATTAAGAATTAAATAATTATTTGTTAATTTGTTAAAATTATTAAAAAATACTTTTTAATTATTATAATAACAAGAATAAATTACATACAAATATCAAATAAGGCCATATGGGAATAATATAGAAACAATGTGTTTATTCTATATTAAAAATATAAAATGCTTATATTTTTTTATACATTTCACAGTCAATACTATTATAGGTAATTGTTTAAAATTATTATTACGATATAACATAATATACTAAAGCGGTAATTCTCCTTTTATTATTGTTGAAGTTATAATATGTCATTGATCTGTCATACCATTTACAGGAGTGAAAAACCTTCAATAACCAATGGGTAGTTATAAAATATTTTTATTTAAATCGTGAAATCTATCATATTATTTTTTAATTTGATTACTGCAGTTTGTATTAGTTTATAACATTAAAGTATGAATTTCACAATTGTATCATAGCCATAGGCACAAATCGCAGTGGGGCTAAGGAGCTTAGCTTTCCCACAAATTATTAAAAACTCAATGTATTAATAGTCAGGGCGCAAGCCCCCCCCCCCCTACAAAATTGAACCAATTTGCCATTTGCGCCTATAATTATAGTAAGTATACATAATATTTAATAATATGAAGTAATATTGTACTTAGGTAAATTAAGGTATCAATAGGCATAGACGTGTAGGCTATACAGAGAAGTGTTACCAAATGGCAAATAAGTTTGAAATTCATCATGTATTTATATTATTTTTGAATTTTAATCAATGTGTCATTAATATCTTTGGAATAAAACAATCTATCAAAGTATCAAATACAATAGCGTTGTCCAGTAAGTAGGTATACGTAAACATTTTTTTTCGCTTATGATGGCCTTATAGTATAAATTTGCCTCTCAATGACATTAGAGATAAATTTGGTAATTATATAGGTAGTACACTAAAAAGTTACACTATATTTAATACTATAGCTTTGTTATTTAACTGACTTATTAGTTATTAATAAATTAAGGTTCAAGATATTTCACTATAAAATCATTACCTAGGTACATATTTAGTTAATAAAAATTAAAAACAAATAATTATGTTTAACGTTAACAACATAGATATTTATATATTTAATAAAATGATAAATATTTATTACAAATATATTTTAGAGATTTTAAAAATGCACCTAGCGAGACCAAAGCACATAGAAAAGCATAGATGTCCAGGTACAAAGTGATCGGTGTATCAATAAACAAAAATAACTTATAAACTTGTACTTAAAAGTTACCATGATTTTATATATTTAACTATTAATTATTCCTGATCTAAAAATATCTAATACGAATCTTTAAAGATAATTTTTCTTTAATTTTGCGTTAAACCATTTTGCACAGTTGGGGTCTGCGTTCCGATTAATCTCCCACTGCATTCCAACGTCCAAGGGCAGTCGTCTATAACAGGTAATAGAGGGCAAGTGGAGAGTACAATCATGCCCCCTGGCTTTTAGTGGTAAATTTTATTTTATACATTTTTTTTTACTCGCCTGTTCCGCCTGTGGGTTGATGCAGTTTACAATTTTACACACATACAATATAGTTATTTATAACACGAACGTGTATCGGTTTTTGATACTGATTTTTATTTTTATTATTATT